AATCTTGTAAACCCCTAGCACGAATATGTGCATAAAAAAAAGTATGGCGACCAATCAAATGCACGAACCTGTTTGTAAATCCTTCTAGAACCTGATTTCCAAATTTGGTATATTCCTGGACTGTAATAGTAAAATTTATTGAAATATTTACAGAAAATAATAATGAACAATTATATTAAAAAAAATTTTAATTATATAGTTGCTGTTGATGCAATTTATAAATCATGACATAGTAAATATATTTCTGAGACAAGCCTTGCTATATCTGCAATTAAATATACTATTGCATGATCAAAAACTATAATAGATATTGATAGCTATATTACTAGTAGAGGAAGCTATACAAAATTTGTTAAAGTTTAGCAATTGAGCCCAAATCTTTGCCAGATAGACTTCTAATTTTAGCCTTCGATAATGAACAAAAAGGTCAAAAAAATTATTTAGATTGAGGCCATAATACAGTTATATTTCATACTGTAACTAGTTTTGTAGTATTTAATTTTGACTCAAATGATGATAGTCAATTAAAAATTAATCTATGAAAAAATAATTCATTTTCTAAAGATAATATTAATCAACTACTCAATTTAGATAATACTATGAAAAATATATTTGAAATAGAGCTTCATGATTTTATTAATAAAATTATAAATACCTTATGCTCTGAGAAAAATCAAGAAGTAAATAAAATAGATGAACTAGTTGAAAAGCAAAATAGTTTATCAAATAAAATTAAAAAATATTCAAATTGTTTTGAATCAGAGATTGATAACAAAAAGCAAAATTGTCCCAAATGTAATACTAAGCTACCAACACTTACTTCACTAAATCAAGAATCATCTCTTTAACAAATGGTATTATCTGAAAATACAAATAAAATAATAACATTTAGATTATATGATTCTAAAAAACCTAGTATTGAATTACAAAAATCTAAAATTAGTTTAATACAAAAAACTATAGCAGACCATGGAGTAAAAATTCCAGATTTATATGTTTCTGATCCAATTTTTATTAATCCTAACTCTTTAATAAATGTTCAAAAAGTTTTGGAACATATTGAAATAATTACTGGAATTAAATCTAGAAAACGTAAATAGATACCTATTGTATATGATAGTGTACTATATAATCAAGCACTGAAATTAAAACAAAAGTTTTCTTGGTTGATTTTGCTTTCAGGTGCTTTATATGAAGAAATGAATATGCTTAAAGCATTTGTTGAATTAAATTAGTATAAATTAAATTTAATTTTTATTCACTAATTCAATAATTTACTTATATTTGATTTTTAATTTTTAAGGAAAATAGATATAAAAACATTTGCTCAATACTAAGGATATCGATCAGATAATCAATTAGTTTTTTTAAAAAATATGCTGATCATCATAAAGTATAGAACTTGATATGTAATATATATCGTTATTTGATGATATTAGAATTAATATAGCTATATATTCTAAGTCATAATAACCCAACATCTAATAGATACTTGGAATGGGCAAAAAAGCAAACTAATGAAATATATAAATTAAAATTTGAACAGGTTAGATATATTTAATTTTAATTTTAATATAAAATAATATAGTAATATAAAATATAATCTAAACAAATATATTTGAAATAGATTTTTACTTATTTTTAGGCTATTATTAATTTTTATATTAGAGTTCGAACTAACCAACCTTTATTACGAAATGTAGCAAGACATCAATTTGCACCAATTTGGTTAGCTAGACGCTATCCAATTTATAAATTATTAGAATTATCATATGAAGAAACTTTATTAAACTTAAAACTTCAAATTCGTGAAATTATTGAAAATATTTCAGTAATATCTCGTTTAGGACTTAAAATCAGCATCAAGAACTTGATGCTATAATAGAAGAGATTAATAAAGCATTAAAATCTTTAATTCCTTCAATACCATCACTACATCATTAGAAAATTGCTGCAAGAAATTATATAAATTTTTTAAAAGTAACTTAATAAATATTAAGATTGGATATTTTATAAAATAGATGATAAACACTACAAACTCTGCAATTCTACTATTAAAAAATTAATAATTACTAATTATTAGCAAATCTTATTTCTTATATTGCCCATCTACTCTATAAAATATTCTTAAAATTAAAAGTATAGTACTTTAGGATATGCTCTTTTTTAAAAAATTTATATACTGTATTTTTCTAAAAATAAACATCCTCTGAAAATAAACATCTTACAACTAATATATACTCAAAAATAAGCATCTCTTATATATTAGAAATAAGCAACAAAATATCAAGTCATTCAAATTATTAGATGAGATTATATCCAAAATAAGCAACCTTATAATAAAAAAAGAATGCTTATCTTTAGAAGAATACAGTATATAAAAAAATTATCATATTAAAATTTTAGAGCATTTCTATAAGAAATATCTTTAAATTAAAAAAAACTAAAACATACCTAATAGACATACTTAATTTCTATAGTTTTAATTTTAATAATTTATTATTATATTAATTTTAATTTATATATATATATATATAGTTACGTACAAACCTTTTTAATATTATTGGATATGAGGATAATGAAAGTTCAGAACTATGAACATAACCTAATCCTTATTTAGAACAGCAACGTTTTCATATATATCTAAGAAAAAATGATTTTTAAATCCAATAACAAATAATATATTTACTAATTTAGATAGTGATATTAATTTAAATGAAGAAATGAAATCATTTAGTGCACATGCACAAGAGAAAAGACAAATATTTATTAAAAATACTTTACTGCAAAAAACCAATACTATGTAGCAAGCAATTCTAATAACAGAACAGAAGACTAAAACACTAAAAAATAAAAATACAATAAAAAAAAAAGAACTTATTTCAGTTATTAATTCAATACTTGTATTATTTCCTGAATCACAATGCCTAAAATATACTAACTTAAAAAATAAAACAAAAGTAATGCTTCTAATGATCTTGCAAGAAATACGAGATTTAAATAATACTGAAAAAGCTGTGGATGAAGAATATGAGGATAAAGAATCTGCAAATGAAGGAATAAAATAAAGGAGTTAATAAATCATGTCATATGTCTTTAAATTAATTCTGTAATTATAATAAAATTTTCTATCTAATATTACTATAAATATTATCATGCTTTTTACTAAATATCTTTGGTTATAAAAAACAATAACATAAAGTAGTTAGAAAGTTGTAAAAACATTGTTTTTTGGCCCATTTATCACATTTTTATTAACTACAATAAAAAAATTTACATCGTATTTGACTTGTGATATTACATGATCACATAGTGAACATGATCATGATTATAACTTTAGGATGATTGTATAATTAATCTGTAATAAAATCAAAAGTATATTAAAGCCTGTATAAGTTATATTCGAATGAAAATAATGCAATGATTAATATTGTAAAAAGGACAAAAATAATAAAGCAAACCTTTTGCTTTTAAAAAAAGAGAATGCCTATTTTCACCATGAAAATTTGTTATTTTCACCATGCTTTTCACATGAGTTTTGGTTATATAAGCATGATTTCGGTTCTCTAAAATATATGTTATTTTTAAATTGACATAAATTGAGAAATGACACATAAAATTTCTACAATTTGATGTAATTTATTATGATAATATACTCATAATGTTTATGTAGCTAAAAGTTATATGGAAAGTATGACAGCATAGTGGAAATAGCAAATGTCCATGGTGGAAATAGGCGTTCCCTAAAAAAAAATAACATAAATTACGACATTAAATATATACAATATTACAACAAAAATATTTCAAAATTAAACTATAATAAAAACAGTTATCATCTAATCTCATGAAATAAATATAAGAATACATTTAAAAAGTCATAGGACGACTTTCATATGATTGGTTGCTTAAGTTAATTTAATTTTACATTATTTATACAGTTTAAAGTACTTTTTCAAAAAAATAAAACCACAAAAAATAAATAAAAAACAAGTACATAGGAGGTATTATTAGTGTTGTAGAACTCCACTATTGAAAATGATCAAAATTCCTTTTTGTTTTAGTGAAGTTAGTATGATAATAACTTCTTAAAAATAGATCTAACAACACTAACTTCTCCAAAACAAAAAGAGATTTTGATCATTTTCAATAGTAGAGTCCTACAACACTAATAATACCTCCTATGTACTTTTTTTTATTTATTCTTTGTAGTTTTATTTTTTTAAAAAAGTACTTTAAACTGTATAAATAATGTAAAATTAAATTGACTTAACCAACCAATCATATGAAAGTCGTCCTATGATTTAAAAAGTATATTAATTCTTCACACAAGATGGTTTTCCTTTCTCTTCGTATCGGTAATAATGGTAAGCATTATTTATATTCACTTCCTATATCACAAAAGATCTATTATAAGTTCAAAGCTGAGAATGAGTTAATGAAGTAGTAAAATAGGAGCTTTTAATGGTTGAATGCGATATACTGAAATACTATATGATTTTTCTTTATTGAATTTGAGATAAGCGAGTGATACAATTATTTTAAAAGCGATACACTGTAATCAAAAACAATGTTTTTGCAAAAAAGTTTTTTTTTTAAAAAAATAATCAAAAGTATAAATTATATACTACTTCATGGCTCTGAAAGAGGACTTGTATTGCTGTTATAAATGATGCTACGATAGTTATCAACATTATATTTATAGCCACTTGAATTATCATTATATTGAATATCAAATTAAAAATAGATTAGTACTACAATCAACATAACTGATAAATTTCATTTATTGTAGAATGTAAGTTTTTTAGCAAGAGAATTGCTTGAGGAATCTCTATCATTTTCCTGACAACCACTTTTCCGAAAACAAAATCCTGACAAAAGTTGACCAGAACTAACACTAACCCTAAATAATGCAGGTTAATTTATCAGAATTTTGAGGTGATTGTTGGAATAATGATAGGATCTCTTACTTGAGAATCATCGTTTAAAAACTTGGTCATGTTTTTTTTTCTTGATTACAAGCTTAGACTATAAGTATCAGATTGATCATCATATTTAATCTTTTGCTGTATTCAAGATAAAATAACATTGTGGCTTAATATACGTTGATATTCCTGCTATATTTAAACTCAAAGTAGAATTTCAAAAATCTCAAAGTCTTGTGATCCCTATATCTTAGAATTATAAAAGTTTATAAATATTTGAAGTTAACATAAAAATGATTGAGAATTAAAACTTAAAAATAAATCTTAATAGATCTTGATAAATTAAAATTTAAAAATAAATCTTACTAGATCCCGATAAATAATATTTTTACAAGGCCAAAAATTTTTTATTATAGGTTCCTGCTACAACAATATTTGAATACTACTATAAATTTGGAGAATACAACTAGTTAGATTCAAATTATTATAAGATCTTGTGAAGTTCCCGGTTCTATAAATATAAAAAATAGGTCATCAGAAATTATTGATTCGAATTGCTATAAAATCAAGCACAGGTCCAAAATATTCTAATAGGAAATTAACGAATATAAAATACAAGCAAGATCAGGTCAAAAATTAAGGTAAAGCCTTGAAAAAACCTAAAAGCTAAAATGATTCGTATTACTGTTAATTTCTTAAGATGATAGAAAATTTTTATTTGCTTATAAAAAGCCTGATCTGAAATAAATGTAGTTGAATTTTTTGTGACAGGGTCTATAACAAAGATTTCCTGGATAAGTTCTGTTTGAAAAATCTTATAAAACTTTCTTACAATTTTTAAATGAGATCATAGGTTTATTAGTGCATTAGTAAATAGTAATACTGACATACTATATAGTTTTTTTTTGAATCTAATGTTATATTAA